GCTACTGCTACTGCTACTACTGCTACTACCACTACCAGTAGTCCTACTACTACTACTACTACTACCACCACCACCACCACCACGACGACGACGACGACTACTACTACTACTCCTACTCCTCCTGCTACCACTACTACTACTACTACTCCTCCTCCTCCTCCTCCTCCTGCTGCTGCTGCTGCTGCTGCTGCTGCTACTGCTGCTGCTGCTGCTACTGCTACTGCTACTGTTACTACAAGAAATCCCATAAAACCCAGATCTTGAGAGCTTGTGCAAGGCCCAGGCCGTCGAGGGCCTGCGGGAGATGTGCTTTTCACAGCGAAGGTTTCTTTTCTGATTGAAAACGCCTAAGTTCTGTAGAGAGTTTATTGAAGGTTTGAAGGTTTGTGGTTCGTTTGGGATTTGGGCCTTGGGCTTTGGAGGTTTGGGCGGGAAACTGAAACTTTCAGTTTCAGGTAAGCTTCAGATGACTTTGTGGCATATGCATGACTAGTCACGCTAGTGACGGCACTGCAAGAAAGATCATCGCAATGGACATCAACAGAAGCGCGTGCAAAAGGCCGACAGCAGTCCGAACAGCTGAGGTCAAAGCCAGAGCAAGCGAGCCAGAACAGTCAACACCAGGCGGATCTAACGAATCTCCGGATAACCAAAACCCCCAGCATTGCAAGAACACCGACAGCCTGGCCGCTGTGGGTGACACCAGAAATCCCTGGGCCGCGAGAGCAAAGTCAAGGGTGAAGCGGGCCGCGACACGCTATAAAATGCAAATCTACATGTGTATGTGTATGCCTGCATGCATGTACATAGAATACTGTCCTGAAGAGCCCGAGGCCAGTGGCTCTCCATTTGAGACTTGAAATGTCGATCTTGATATAGCGGTCTGAACAAAATTTAACGGCCCCCTGGAAGATTCGCAGTGGACTGTAGGAGTTTTGGGTGGGCAGCCCTTTGTGGGGATTGCACTTTAAAATCTTTAGAGTTTGTCTTCAAGAGATCTAAAGATTTGAGCTTTTAGGGCTTGCGGCTTTAGAGTTTAGGGTAGGGGCTGTGAGGGGCTTGGAGCTTTCTTATGGCCTAGGATGTTTTTGGAGGGGGGGTTGCCGGCGCCGGCAAAGCACTGGGTCGTCAGGTTCGGGATCGAATGTCAGTTTAGAGTCTGGCGTATAGCATACTGTTTATGTTTGTTACAACGAGTGCCCACCAAACGTCAACAACAACATCTCAAAAGCCTGGTAACCATACTGCTGCAACCCAAGACTCGACATTTACACTGGCCGTATCGCTTGCGATAAAACTCAAACGCGAGAAACTCTGCAACCACTCGTCGTTATGTTTTGATAATCGCTGGCTTTTGATACCACGAACGGTATGGCTTCAATTCAAATGATTAGTTCTGGCAGCTGTTTCGTGTTAACGGCTACTGTGCGATCTTGCTACGACTGCCGAAACCCGAAAACCAACACTCCTAAGTCCCAAAACCCCCAATTGCCAAACCTTGAACAAACCCTAACTACACGAAGCCCTACAACAAGGCAACAAACTGCTGCTGAAGTCCTACCACCCTGAGGCACTAGCACGGCGACAAGCGCTGTCGGGGAGCCTTGGACTTCGGTGAAAAGCTGAGGCATTTTAGGAAATATATGTTATACATGTATATACACACATACATACATGTAGAGAGAATATACATATATATATATATAGATATAGATAGAGTACAAACAAATAAATACATGCATAAATACAAAACGAAATAAATAACTAAGTTATATATATGTATACATTTACATATACAGACAGTACATACATATAGTACATATACTTATGTATATGCCTAGTTTGCGTCGTTGGTTAGAGTTCAAAGTGTTTGGCAGGCATTAACCGTCGTGGCCAGGGCCCCTTGCCGTCTGCTTTCTGGGGAGTGTACTTGTTTAGGTTTTTGGACTGGCGTCAGTTTGGTGTCGAGATTCTCCGTAAGCCCTCAGCCTCTAGCAAAAACTCATTAAGTGCAATCTTGGGGCGTTGCAAGGGAAACGGGATACTGCGCCTATGCAGACCTCTATAATCTCTACACTAACCTGAAAGCCTTGGTGTCGTGCACACTACCACACTACGGACCTAGCCACAACGGCGAACACACACCACCAAGAAGAACTGTAAGAAACAACCAAACGGCAACCACAGCCCAAGACCATTTGAAAGAGGATGATGCATTGCATTGTCATCATCGTTACGATCGTTATCACGTGCATCGCTACCATCATGAAGGTCGTTAGCACCACCGCCATAATCGCGGTCTTTACATCTTTCGACATTGGACTAGCGACTCCGGCAGCCTACAGCCGATCATCCGCTCAAACAGGCATTGGCATTGGGATCAATTTTAGTTGAAGCTCCGTCTTTCCGACTGCAACAATCCGAAGCTTCAGGTTTCTTGCTGTTGGATTCAGGCTTGAACGCCTGCACGAAAGCCAACACCCTGAGGGCTCCGCTGTCCTTTCCGGTCTTCGGCGCGGCTACAGATCGCCGAAGCCTGATGCTTCAGGAGAACCGCTTTGGATTGAGCTTTTGGATTTGAGCTGGGACTTCGGATTTCGCGAGGGCTGCAGGCGTCAGCCGTTAACTGGGACACAACAAC